GCCACTGCACTCCATCCTGGGCAAAATGAGTGAAGTTCTGTCACAAAAAAAAAAAATAAATAAAAATAAAAGAACCTCTATTTGTCTCCATGCTTAAATATTTGTGAGCAGGGCAAAGGCCATGCAGAGAGTGTTCACACCCAGGCCAAAGCCCTGCTTCGCCTTCACTGCAGTGCATGGCAATCCCTTTGTTAGAGGATGCGACGTCTTCCCATAACTAGCTCTCCTTTCTCATAATATGTCTTAGAATTATTAACATGGTTGAATTTAGGTCTACCATTTGTTTCCCATTTGTCCCACTTTTGTTCCCCTGTTTCTCTTTTCCTGCCTTCTTTTGGAGTTTTTATTTGATTACTTTTTTGTTTGTTTGTTTGAGACAGAGTCTTACTCTGTCACCCAGGCTAGAGTGCAGTAGTGTGATCTCGGCTCACTGCAACCTCCATCTCCCGGGTTCCAACAATTTTCCTGCCTCAGTCTCCCAAGGGGTTATAGGCTCCCACCACCATGCCAGCTAATTTCTGTATTTTTGGTAGACACGAAGTTTCACTTGATCAGACTGGTCAGACTGGTCTTGAACACCTGACCTTAAGTGATCCACCCACCTCAACCTCCCAAAGTGCTGGGATTACAAGCAGGAGCCTCCTCACTCAGCTAAATGTTCTAATAAATACCCACATACCCACTATTTTGCCACTGCAGTTTTTGTTGATCATTATCTGTCATTTTTCTTAATGTTGGTAAAGCTCTAGTTTATTCCTGCTAATGGATGTATACTGTTCTGTTGTATGATTACATCAGACTTTGTTTTGTTTTGTTTTTTTGGTTTTTTTTTTTTGTTTTGAGACAGAGTCTGGCTGTGTCGCCCAGGCTGGAGCACAGTGGCATGGTCTTGGCTCACTGCTACCTCCACTTCCCGGGTTCAAGAAATTCTCCTGCTTTACCCTCCCAAGTAGCTGGGGTTACAGGTGCCTGCCACCACACCAGCCAATTTTTGTATGTATGTATGTATGTATTTATTTATTTATATTCTTTTTGAGACAGAGTCGCACTCTGTCACCTAGGCTAGAGTGCAGTGGCGCAATCTCAGCTCACTGCAAGCTCCACCTTCCGGGTTCACGCCATTCTCCTGCCTCAGCATCCCGAGTAGCTGGGACTACAGGCGCCCGCCACCATGCCTGGCTAATTTTTTGAATTTTTAGTGGAGATGGGGTTTCACCGTGTTAGCCAGGATGGTGTCGATCTCCTGACCTCGTGATCCGCCTGCCTTGGCCTCCCAAAGTGCTGGGATTACAGGTATGAGTCACCGTGCCTGACCCTATTTATTTATTTATTTATTTATTTATTTATTTAGAGACGGTGTCTCACTTTGTCACCCAGGCTGGAGTGCAGTGGTGCGATCTCGGCTCACTGCAAGCTCTGCCTCCCGGGTTCATGTCATTCTCCTGCCCCAGCTTCCCGAGTAGCTGGGACTACAGGTGCCCGCCACCACGCCCGGCTAATTTTTTTTTGTATTTTTAGTAGAGACGGGGTTTCACCGTGTTAGCCAGGATGGTCTTCATTGCCTGACCTCTTGATCTGCCTGCCTCGGCCTCCCAAAGTGCTGGGATTACAGGCGTGAGCCACCATGCCCGGCCAACCCTATTTATTTTTAAGACGAAATTTTGCTCTTGTTGCTCAGGCTGGAGTGCAGTGGCACAATCTCGGCTCACTGCAACCTCCTCCTCCTGGGTTCCAGCGATTCTTCTGCCTCAGCCTCCCAAGTAGCTAGGATTACAGGTGCTTGCCACCATGCCTGGCTAATTTTTGTGTTTTTAGTAGATACAGACTTTCACCATGTTGGCCAGGCTGGTCTCAAACTCCTGACCTCGGCTTACCAAAGTGTTGGGATTACAGGTGTGAGCCACCTGGCCTGGCCACTACATGAGACTATTTACCCTTCCACCTGCTGTTGGATACTTAGATGGTTTTGTGCTTTGCCAGTACTTGGATACTTGTATGCACCCGTGTTCTTCTAAGGGGGATGCCCACAAAAGCTATTGCTTGCCACAAGGTATGTGCATTCTCATCTTGACACCATGTCTGAGTCTGTTTTGTCTTGCTTTGACAGAATTGCACAGACTAGGAAACATGTAATGAACAGAAATCTGGTTGGGCGCGCAGACTCACATCTGTAATCCCAGCCCTTTGAGAGGCCAAGACAGGTGGATCACTTGAGAGCAGTAGTTCAAGACCAGCTTGGCCAACATGGTGAAACCCCATCTCTACAAAAAATCAGCACGCTTGTAATCCCAGCTACTAGAGAGGCTGAGGCAGGAGAATCGCTTGAACCCAGGATGCACAGGAGGCAGTGAACTGAGATTGTGCCACTGCACTCCAGCTTGAGAGACAGAGTGAAATTCTGTAGGAGACAGAGCAAGACTCCCTCTCAAAAAAAGAAAAAAAAAGAAATCTATTGGCTCACAAATCTGAAGGTTGAGAAGTCCCAGATGGTGGGGCCGGTATTTGGTAAGGGCCTTCCGACTTCATTGTAACATGGAGGAAGGTATCTCATCTGAGAGACAGAGGGATGAACTCATTCTTTAATAAGGAACCCATTCCTGTGAAAACTCACTTCCGTGGTCATGGCGTTAGTGCATTTCTGAGAGCAGAGCCCTGGTGACCTAGTTACCTCTTGAATGTCTCACTTCTAAAATCTGTAGCACTCCGGATTAAATTTCCAACCCAAGAACTTCGGGGAACTCATTCATATCACAGCACACGGTTTTATCAAATACCTCTCCAAAGTGATTGTTCCCAGTTACCACACCCTGGCCATCCAGATGGGCCATTTCCCCTAGCGTCCCTTTAGCAGCAAGGATAGTTGGGAAGGGGTGGATCTGGGACTGACCCTGTGTCTGTAAATATTATATAATTATATACCCTGCTTCAGAGTCCCCCTTTGTTGCCCTGGAATGCAGTGGTATGATCATAACTCATTGTAGCCTCCAACTCCTGGGCTCAAGCTATGATCCTCCTGCCTCAGCCCCCTGAGTATTGGGTACTGTAGGCTTGTGCCACTATGCCCAGCGAATTAAAAAAAGTATTTGTGTGTGTGTGGAGATGAAGTCTTGCTATGTTTCCAGGCTGTTCTTGAACTCTTCAAGTGATCCTCCCACCTCAGCCTCCCAAAGTGTTGGGATTACAGGTGTGAGCCACCACACCTGGCCTATACCTTGCTTCTCTTTCTTTCTTTTCTTTCTTTCTTTCTTTTTTTTTTTTTTCTTTTTCTTTTCTGGAGACAGAGTCTCCCTCTGTCACCCAGGCTGGAGTACAGTGGCATAATATTGGCTCACTTGCAACCTCCACTTCCTGAGTTCAAGGGATTCTGCTGTCTCAGCCTCTTGAGTAGCTGGGATTACAGGCGTGCATCACCACACCTGGCTAATTTTTGTATTTTTAGTAGAGACGAGGTTTCACCATGTTGGCCTGGCTGGTCTAGAACTCCTGATCTTCGCCCACCTTGGCCTCCCAAAGTGTTGGGATTATGCCCCCCCTTCCTCCCTCCCTCCCTCCCTCCCTCCCTCCCTCCCTCCCTTCCTTCCTTCCTTCCTTCCTTCCTTCCTTCCTTCCTTCCTTCCAGACAGGGCCTTGCTCTGTCACCTAGGCTGGAATGCAATGGCACAATCTTGGCTCGCTGCAACCTCCACCTCCCAGGTTCAAGCAATTCTCCTGCTTCAGTCTCTTGAGTAGCTGGGATTACAGACACTCACCCCTACGCTCAGCTGATTTTTGTCTCGATCTCCTGACCTCAGGTGATCTGCCCACCTCCCTGCTTCTCATTGAGGTCTCTGTCACTCAGTTATCAGTACAGGGAAAGGGCTCAAGGGCAGTGTGTGGCCATGGCCATTTGCAGATGGCAGTAGGAGCGACCCTTTCTACATTTACTCAACACAGCTGCCTATGCCCAGCCTGGTTAAGCCTCAGGGCAGTGTGCGGGGACTCACTGTGATCTTAGCTCCAGGTGCTCCTCCAGCTGGAGAGGCAGCCTACGGCTGATCACAGTGCAAGGCCAGATGTCCCTTTCTGTCTCTGTGAGGGCAGAGATGAGGTCTGTCTCATGACTCTATCCCCAGCACTTGTCACAGTGGTGCCTCTGAATATGTTATGGGTCATTCACTCATCCATTAAATATCAAGTGCCCTTACAACATACTTTATCCACTGGGGACAAAGTGAGGATAAAGCAACAAAGAACCCCTACCCTTTTGGGGACTTCACTTTTTTTTTTTTTTTTTTTTCTTTTTTTTTTTTTTTGAGACGGAGTCTCGCTCTGTCACCCAGGCTGGAGTGCAGTGGCCGGATCTCAGTTCACTGTAAGCTCCGCCTCCCGGGTTTGCGCCATTCTCCTGCCTCAGCCTCCCGAGTAGCTGGGACTACAGGTGCCCGCCACCTCGCCCGGCTAGTTTTTTGTATTTTTTAGTAGAGACGGGGTTTCACTGTGTTAGCCAGGATGGTTTATTTTGTTTTTGAGACAGGGTCTCACCCTGTCACCCAAGCCTGAGTGCAGTGGCTTGATCATAGCTCACTGCAGCCTCCAACTCCTGGGCTCAAGTGATCCTCCTGCCTCAGTCTCCTGAGTAGCTGGGACTACAGACCCACACCACTATGCCTGGCTAATTTTTTTTTTTTTTTTTTTTGTAGAGATGGGGTTTCACTGTGTTGCCCAGGCTGGTCTTGAACTCCTGGGTTCAAAAGATCCACCCATCTCAGCCTCTCAAGGTGCTGGGATTACAGGCATGACCCATGGCACCAGGCCGAGCTTCACTTTTACCAGGAATGGGGATGATGAAGGCTGGGAGTGCCCCAGTCTGGTGGAGCTCAGGCCCCTTAGCCTTTCTTCTGATGGAGCCACAACTGCCGGGGCCCGCCTCTCCCACCCACTCACAAGCAGGGCTCACAGAGCCTCTGATTAGAAGACCTCTCTAAGGCCACGCTGCAGGGAAGGCAAGCAGAAAGAGTATCCACTGTTCCAATCTGATTTTATTGAAAAGGAAACATACAAAAATCATGTACAAAAAAAATTAACCAAACATGTACAGAAAATTCATTCCGGTATCTACAGCAGCGCATATACAGTATCTTACAGGCTGGGCCATCCCTCCCCACTCCCAGACTCCTCCCTCTTCCGAGATTTCCCCCCCTCCCTGACTCCCCGTCTTCCCCCCAGCGCTTGGCCCTGGGGACTAAGGCTGGGGCGGCTTCAGCCAAAATCTCCCACCCCCCAAATGAATGCCAGTGGTCACACGTGCTCTCTCTAAACCTATGCAATGGGATTGATGGGGCGGGGGGCGGTCGTGGGCAGAGCACAGGATTCACAGTCTGGGCCCCTCCTGGCCATCCCCGCATGAAGGTGAGGCAGGCACGCCCACCACCCGCCGGCTGGCTCAGGGAAGATGGCTGGGCACCTGGCTGGAGCAACCGGCAGACGCGCCCCACTCTCTGGCTCCAGGAGGCTAGTGGTCACGTTTGGCTCATTTGCTCTTCACGGGCCCCCTCCAGGAGGAGGGGGGGAAGCACCAGGGGCCTGAGGCCAGGCCCAGAGTGAAGGAGCACCGAGAGGAGAGCCCCCCCTCAGTGTCACCCCTGCAGCTGGAACGGACACCAGTACAACAGCCTTTCCTGAGATGGTGGTGGGCGGCAGAGGCGGGCGGCTCAGTCCCCACCCCCTTGGTCACCGCCGCCTTCCGATGCTGAGTCCATCAGCCCTCCCTCCCCTGGCTTCTTGGCCAGGGACCCAGGAGTCCGCATCTCTGTCAGTGCACCCCAGGCTGGGCTGGGGCTGGAGTGGCTGCCCCGGCCTGCCCCCGGGATAGGCAGGGCTGGGAGTCCAGTATGCTACATGGTGCAGAGAAAGTCCCCCGCGCTGGCCAGGGTGTCAGGAGGTGGGAGGGGCCTGCCCCCCGAGTCCCTGACGTCCACCGGGCGGGTGCAGGCACCTAATTGGGCTCCATTTCGGGGGCTCTGTGGCCCCTGGGTAAGGGCAGGAGTCCCATGATGAGATTGTACAGGACCCTCCAGGGCGAGGGGCGGTGTCGCTGCTGCTCCTCTTGTCTCTGGGGAAAAGAGAGAGACCGGGCAGTTAGCAGGGGACTGAGTATGGTGATGGGAGAGGGGATGGTCAGCTCCAGCAGTGAGGCGACCGTCTCGCCCACGCTATTCCAGCTCCTCCCCACACCTGGGCTAATGTCCATGTCTTGGAGGTCACATCCTCATCCAGGACCTGAGACCAGGAGGCAGAGGACAAACACGGAATGTCTTCAGCAGAGAGCTGGGCACCCAGCGAGTGTGTGGCACATGTTAGCTGTGGCCGCCCCAGCCCTGCTGTACACTTAGGAAAGACATCCCACAAGGGGCTGAAGGATGGACTGCAACCTATCCTACCCCTCCCTGCAGGGCCGGCAAGATGAGGAGAAAGGTGCAGGGTGCCCACAGTCTTGGCAGTTCTAGAACAATCTGTGGAAGGAGGAGAACTGGGAAGAGTTCACCCACCCCCCATTGCAAAGGCTTCAAAAGAAGCACCTCTAGGCAATGCTGAGTGAAACCCTTGCCCTCTCTCCAGTGGCAGGGTGAAAACAAGGTGGTCTCTAGGGCCCTCTCAGCTCCAACATGCCAGGAAGTGGGAAGGCGGGAGGCTAAGTCCTAGGAAAGGCTCCCGACTGGTAAAAATTAAAGGCAATACTAAAAAGTGTACGGAGGCCCAGCGCGGTGACTTATACCTGTAATCCCAGCACTCTGAGAGGCCAAGGTGGGAGATCACCTAAGGTCAGGAGTTTGAGACCAGCATGGCCAACATGGTGGAACCCTGTCTCTATTAAAAATACAGGCCGGGTGCGGTGGCTCATGCCTGTAATTGCAGCACTTTGGGAGGCTGAGGCGGGCAGATCACGAGGTCAGGAAATTGAGACCATCCTGGCTAACACAGTGAAATCCCGTCTCTACTAAAAATACAAAAAAATTAGCCAGGCGTGGTGGCGGGCGCCTGTAGTCCCAGCTACTCGGGAGACTGAGGCAGGAGAATGGCGTGAACCCAGGAGGCGGAGCTTACGGTGAGCCAAGATCGCGCTACTGCACTCCAGCCTAGGTGACAGAGCAAGACTACGTCTCAAAAAAAAAAAAAAAAAAAAGGCTGGGCAAGGTGGCTCATGTCTGTAATCCCAGCACTTTGGGAGGCCAAGGCAGGTGGATCACCTGAGGTCAGGAGTTCAAGACCAGCCTGGCCAACTTGGGGAAACCCCATCTCTACTAAAACAACAAAAACTAGTCGGGCATGGTGGCACGCACCTGTAGTCCCAGTTACTTGGGAGGCCAAGGCAGGAGAATCGCTTGAATCCGGGAGGCGGAGGTTGCAGTGAGCTGAGATTGCACCACTGCACTCCAGCCTGGGCGACAGAGCAAGACTCTGTCTCAAAAAACAAAACAAAAAAGCATACAGAGAGCTGCAGTCCTCTGCTACTCCCTGTAGCTCCACAGGCAGGCTCTGTGCTAAGTGGGGACAACCTAACCTCCTCCCCTTCAGGTGCTGGGGAAGGAGAAACTCACTTTACAGAAGGTTAAATGATCCTCATCTTCCTCATGTTACCTGGCAGTGAGTCGCCTGGTACCAGCCCAGTCTCCTCAACACTCCCTAGCAACTCTTGGGGCCAGGAGATGGTGGCAAAGTGGGCACATCGGATTGGCGTAAGTTATAAAACCCACCGCTGTCAAACTGCTGTGGGTGCCACCTGGTGAGCAAGCTAGCAATCATCTAGTAAGGTGGGCAGACCACCCAGGTACCTATTCTAGAAACACAAGAGCACACCTGGAAATATGCATGTGTAGGAGAGGAAAAAAGGCAATAAATAATGGCCGGGCACAGTGGCTCATGCCTGTAATCCCAGCACTTTGTGAGGCCAAGGTGGGTGGATCACCTGAGGTCGGGAGTTCAAGATCAGCCTGGTCAACACAGTGAAACCCCGTCTCTACTAAAAATACAAAAATTAGCCAGGCATGGTGCAGGGCATCTGTAACCTCAGCTACTTGGGAGGCTGAGGCAGGAGAATTGCTTGAATCCGGGAGGTGGAGGTTTCAATGGGCCAAGATCGTGCCATTGCACTCCATCCTGGGCAACAAGAGTGAAGCTCTGTCTCAAAGAAAAAAAAAAAAGCCAATAAATAAAATCTGAAATATATTTAAAAATAGGCTGAGTGAGGTAGCTCAGGCCCATAATTCCAGCACTTTGGGAGGTCGAGGCAGGAGGATCACTTGAGGCCAGGAGTTTGAGACCAGCCTGGGTAACACAGAAAGACCTGATCTCTATAAAAAATAAAAATAAAATAAAAATTAGCCAGGCATGGTGGACCTGCCTGTGGTCCCAGTTAGTTGGGAGGCTGAGACGGGAGGATCCCTTAAACCTAGGAGTTGGAGGCTGCAGGGAGCTGTGATTGAACCACTGCACTCCAGCCTGGGAGACAGAGTGAGACCCTGTCTCTAAAATATAAAATAAAAATACATATCTATCCTAAATATCCATCAATGAGAAAATGAATAAGGATACTATGTTTATCCAACAGAATACTATGTAGCAGTGAAAATGGCTTTTTTTTTTGTTTGAGACAGAGTCTCATTCTGTCCTTCAGGCTGGAGCGCAGTGGCTTGATCTCCTGACCTCTGCTCTCTGCAACCTCCATACCTCCACCTCCTGGGTTCAAGAGATTCTCCTGCCTCTGTCTCCCAAGTAGCTGGGATTACTGGTGTGCCACCATGCTCAGCTAATTTTTCTTTTCTTTTTTTTTTTTGAGATGGATTTTTGCTCTTGTTGCCCAGTCTGGAGTGCAGTGGCACTATCTCAGTTCACCGCAACCCCCACCTCCCAGTTTCAAGCAATTATCCTGCCTCAGCCTCCCGAGTAGCTGAGATTACAGGCCTGCGCCACCACACCCAGCTAATTTTGTATTTTTAGTAGAGACGGGGTTTCTTCATGTTGGTCAGGCTCCCCTCAAACTCCCGACCTCAGGTGATCCGCCCTCCTCAACCTCCCAAAGTGCTGGGATTACAGGTGTGAGCCACCGGGCCTGGGCTTAATTTTTATATTGTTAGTAGAGACGAGGTTTCACCATGTTGGTGAGACTGGTCTCGAACTCCCAACCTCAAGTGATCCACTTGCCTCCGCCTCCCAAAGGGCTGGGATTACAGGCGTGGGCCACTGCATCCGGCCGAAAATGGCTGTATTTGTTGTTTCTTTCTTGCAATGGTCTTGTTCTGTCCCCCAGGCTGGAGTTAAGTGGCCCTTCATGGCTCACTGCAGCCTCGACTTCCCTGGCTCAAGGGACCCTTTCACCCCAGCCTCCCGAGTAGCTGGGACTGCAGGCTGGCACCACCACACCCGGCTAATTTTTATATTTTTTGTAGCAACAGGGGTCTCATTATGTGGCCCAGACTGGTCTAGAACTCCCGGGCTAAAGCGTCCTTCCAACTCCGCCTCCCAAAGTGCTGGGATTACAGGCGTGAGCCACCGAGCCTGGCTGAACATATGGTGAATCTGAAGCCTAATATTGAGGGAAAAACGAATTCTGGGGAGGAACAAAAACTATGTCATGTAGGCTAAGCTAAGACTGCCCCATGATCCTAAGCCCTGGTTCTGGCCTGGTAAATATGGAGTAAAAGCAACACCTGCAGGGGTTGAGACAGGCCAACTTGAGAGATTTCCTTTGGATGCAGGGACGGGGAGGGGATGGGGAGAGTGAGGAGCTTCACCACATGCGTTTCTGCGGTTTTGTTTGGTTTGTTAATAAGCAATGCGGGTGTAATGTTCAGACTGAACAGAGCTGGCTAGTGGGCGCACGATGTTTGTGATTTCCCATTCTCTGCTGTGGGCTTCGAATATCTGTTTTAAAAAATCGGGGCCGTGCCAGGGGCTGGGGGCGGGGCCTCCCGCGGGGCGGGGCTCCGAGCCCTCCCCTGCAGTCCTCAGCCCGCCCCGGCACCCGGGAAGCTGTGTGGCGCTGCGGGCCGCGCGAGAGGGACGGCAGGGGGCGGGCGCGGCGCGGCTGCTGACTCACCAGCTATAAATAGCCTGGGATATATGAGCCGCGCCGCCCAGCGACGCCCTCAGTCCCCGCGGCCGCGGGCCACGGGCACGCCGCTAGTCTCCGCGGCGGCCTAGTCCCCGGCCCTGGCCCTGGTCCGGGCTCGGGCTCCGGCTATGCCAGCCGCGGCGCGGAGTCTCTGGGCGGCTCTGCGGACGCGCGATCCCCCCCACCCACTCACCCCCCACCTGCCTGTCCGCGGAGCGACCCAGCCGCGCAGGGCAGCAGCTGCCGCACATCTGGCGGGGGCCGCCTGCCGCCCCCTCCTCCGGCGGGAAGTCCCACCTGCCGTCTACCCCACCCCCAGCACTCACCCGCCGCTCGTACTGCGCGTTGAGGTCGTCCGCCATCCGCCGCAGCTGGGCCCCGATCTCCTGGGCCCACTGTTCCTCCTCCCCGCGGACTCCCGGGGCCGCCTGGGTGGGACCGCCCGCCAGGGCCCCCGGGGCGCTGGGCACGGGCGACTCCAGGTGCTGCTCCGCCAGCGAAAGCGAGGGCTGAGGACCTTGGAAAGGCAGAGGGGCGCGGTCAGCACCCACTACCCCTCCAGGCCTCGAAGTGTACCGGCCCACTTCCCTCTTTCCCAGCTACTGCTCCCCGACTCATTTCTAGTGATCTCTTCGCCCCGTCTTAGAGTCAATTTCTCAGCTTTTCCTCCCTAGGCACCAGAAAGCAAAAAGGACCTGGGGACGCCGCTCTGGGGTCACCTGTCTGGCCAGCTACGTCCCCACGGCCCTTGTCAGTGTGGAAGGTAGACGGCCAGACAGGTGACCCCGGGGGTGGTCAGGCTTAACGACCTCTATTTCCCAACGGGGACACATCTTGCCTGTTCCATGTGACAGGCAGGGAAACTGAGGCCCGCCCGTAGGGAGTATCCCAAGGTCACACAGGGATACAGCGACTGAACCCCACCCAGATCACAAGCCTCAGGTCTCCTGCCCTCTCGTGTCCAACCACAGGGAAGCCACACCTCCGGATGTGGCAGAGGCCTAGAGACCAGAAGGCCAGAGACTGTGGCAGCTTCAGAGCGCGGGCCTGGGGGCTGGGACGCGGGAGATGCCTTCCTGCCCCACCCCCTTCTGAGAGCCCTGGGAGGCTCCTGCCCTCCCGTCCCACCAGATCCTGGTCTGAGGGTTCGCTAAGGCCTACAACCAGGGCCTCAGTTTCCACATCTATGACCTTGGCTTGAAATCGGTGTCCCCTTCCAGGGCTTCCAGGAACTGAGCTAGGGAAGTTTTCTCTTTCCTTGCTCCCCTTGGGCTGCCGGGACAGGATGGGGGATGGGAAACCAGGACTCACTTTCCCGGGCTACAGTGCCTGCTGGCAGGGATGGGGCTCCCCGGGCACCACAGGGTTAATAGCCCATCAGGCAGGGGACCTTTAACCCTTCTCTCCCCAAGACTCCCCCCTCCCCGAGGGGACTTTCCCAACACAATGGCCCCTCCCCCTCTCCTTCCTCCGCCGGGACTGCGGAGAGGGCCAACCCTGGCCAAAGAGATGCAAATAAAGGCAAAGGCCCCTCGACCCCTCCCCAGAGCCCAGAGTTGACAGCTCGGCCCACACTCCCTGCAACAAGAATCCTCCAGGGGGTCTAGGGGACCCAGACTGGGGGAGGGCAGCTCGGATGCAGCTGTTGCCCCAGGCCCGGAAGAGACAGTGGGCTGCAATTCGGGGACTGCAGTCAGATTCCAGGAGGGACTTCCCACTTGACCTCCCCCTCCACCCCCAGCCTCCGTCTTCCTGCTTCTTTCAACACAAAGACCACATTGGCCACACCCTCCCAGTGGCCCGGCCGGGCTCGCCACTTCCCCCCTACCCCGTCCTCTCCCACTTCTCCAGTTCCTCCGAGTCTCAGGTCCTCTCTCTTCCCGACTCCTATCACCCCGGGGGCGGGGCGGGCACTCACCGTCCGGGCGTGGGCCTCGGGGCCGGCTGCGGGGACCCCCAGGCCAGCGGGGGCCCCCCAGGGCGGCGGTGACGGCGGGTGGGGCGGTGGGGGCGCAGAGGTAGGCAGCGGGCAGCAGGGCGGGGGCGGCGGGGGCGGCAGCCAGGCCGGGCTCGCAGAGGCCGCAGGACACTGCCGAGGGCACCAGGCGGCCGAGCGGGAAGGGGCGCGGGCCGTCGCGGGCCAGGCCCTCTACGGGCTCCGGGGAGCTGCCCTCCTGGCGTGCGCGGGCCATGGCGCTCCCTGGGGCCTGCGGGACACGGGAGGAGGAGCAGGTCAGCAGGGAAGTACCAGGACCCACTGTACCTCCAGTCTACCCGGGGTCAGGACCCAGATGGAGAAGAGTGGAGGTGTGTGTGCATGCGGAGGGGGTGATGGCCCCACAGAGACACGCCCAACCAGGGGATGACACCACCGGGTCCTGGCTGGTCTGGAGAGCCTCCCCTGCATACGGTGATGGGCACACAGGAGGGACAGGGAGCACAGGATGGCTCTCACAGCAAAGACAGGGCTCACACAGGACGGATGGAGGGGTCTAGCAGGTGTGTGTACGTGGGCTGTGACAATCCCACAACACAAACTCACTCCACTTGGGACTCACAGCATGGGCTGGTAGGGACAACTTTCCCAACACAGCGACGGGCACACAGGGAGGGCAGCGAGGCACAGTGAGGCCCCCACAGCACACACACAAGGACTCACATGGGACTGGCCTGCCTGACCACCCACCCCACCTCCCACTTGCACACAAACACTGAGATGGCCCCAGTCTCAGACATCACTACTCAGTACACACAACATACACACACACATACACCCCGACCAAAGCAGGAGCATCCAGACAGACCATCACAAGCACTCTACATACTGCGCACACTGGCTGGCACAACCCATCCCCACACACACATCCAAACTGTCAAAGTCTCACACACTGACCCACTGTTGATATGCCCAGGGGCACATGCAAACACAATGCAGCCATTGCAAACACACACACACACACACACCAGCTAGGCACTGCCTCAGTTCCCAAACATGCCCCTCTCCACACACACACACACACACACACACACTCTCACTCCAGAGATAAGACCGGCACACCTCTGGACTCACATATCAACACAAAACAGACACCCACGGACACACATACATCAACACCCCCAAAACACACCCACATGTCACCAACTCTCAGGACACACGTAAATCAGGCACACACAGACACATGCCATCAGACCTCAACACACCACCAGACACGAAGGCTATGACCAGCAGACACCAACCCACCCTCCTCACGCAGCCCTCAAACACCATCACCAACTGTCAGCAACACACACACACACACACACACCCTACAGCTAACTCTAATCCCACACAGCCCAGCAGCGCACACACCTAGCGCACCCACAGAAAACACTGGTCTCACGTGACTGACATAAACACTACACACACGCAGCCCACATGACACACATGAGCCAGCCGATCACAGTGACAAGTCCCTCAGACCCAACACACACACGCATACACTACACACACACACACACACACACAGAGGCTCAGAAACAACCCCATCCAGAGGCTTCGAGCAACACCCACCGTCTACACTGTATAGACCCCACAGATCCTGGGCCCTCAAATCCCAGACGCTGATGCCAGACACACAAGCCAAACCCAGACTGAAACAATCCCCCACCACACACACACACACACACACACACCTGAGAACTCACACAGACACCTGGACAGAAAACAAGACATTTGCATTTAGCAGGCGCAGCATCGCAAACGCTGGGCAAAGACACACATGCCCCGGAGATACAGAGACAGCCTCAGCCAAGACAGAAACACACAGGCAAGACACAAGCGCACACACCGCACGCTCGGGCAAGACACACACAGAAACACACAAACAGCTCACTCCAGCAACACACACACACACTACAACCTCCACACCCCAGCACACGCAGGCAACAGACCCCCAGTATCACCCCAAAACAGCACACACAGACAACTCTCACCGAGAACACACGCAGGTCCACCCACCCCACAGGCAGGGCACCCACAGACAGAACCCCACACAAACAGGCGCGGGGACTCACGCAGACACCCCGACGGGTCAGAAACCCCAACATTCCTCCGGATCGACACCACCACTCGCTGCAGAACCCAGCACAAACTCAGAGCCAGACACGCGCACACACCCAGGCGAGACACCTGCAGATCCACAACCCCGCACACGCGCGCTCCCACGGCGGTCCCAGACGCCCCCCTCCGCTGTCACAGCCCCCCCCACCGCCGCCACGTGCGCCCGCCCCGCCCGCCAGGCGAGCGCGGGGCCAATAACCGGCTGTTGCTGGGGCGCAGCCCCCGCCCGCAGGAGCCGCAGACTCCACGGCCCGCGAGCCGCCCCCCGTCGCCGCCCCCAGCGGGCGCGCGCCCTGGGTGTGGCCGCCCCCCCGTGCCGCCCCCCCACCCCTCCCGGACTTTGGGGGCTGGGGCACCCCGGGGTCGACCCTCTTCCCCGGGGCCGCACTGGCCGCCAGGGGGCGCTGCCGAGCCCGCACCCCATTGTTTGTAAACAAACCCGCCAGACCGCCGAGGCACCTGTGCGCCCAGACCGGCGCCCCAACGCCGAGCTGCCTCTCACCCGGCGACCCCGGCCCAGGGTCCCTCGCGGGGTTTGGAGGGAGGCGCGGTGGGGGGAGACAGGGCGCCCACACTGCTCTCCGCCTGCACTCCCGTCACCTCCTCCAGGGAGTCCACCCGGCCTGGCCGATCGCCGCCGGCGAGGAGTCAGGGCGCGCACACTCACCCCGGGGGCATGAACACGCCGGAGGGGGCGGCGGTGGGGGGCGGGCGGCTTCCTTCAGGAGGGCGCGCCCGCCAAGCGCCGCTCTCCGCGGCGGCTGTTGCTGGGGCTGTCGCTGCTGCTGCCGCTCTAACTGCAGTGGCGGCTGCTGTGGCTGTGGCTGCTGCCGCTCCCCGGGCCGCAGGCGGGTCCGCGTAGTGGCCGCCGCTGCTGGGATCGCTGGTGCCGCCGCCACCGCCAGGCGCCCGCTCGCATGTGGCTCGCGCCGCGTCTCAGGCCGCCCGGCGGATCCCGGGCCCGCTCCAAAGCCGCCCCGCCCCGCCCCGCCCCGCCCCCGCCCGGCGGGTCCCACGCCCCGCCCCCGCGTGACGCTACGGCCCCGCCCGCCCGCCGCGGACAAGTCGGGACTTGCAGACGCGCGCCGCGCCCCCCCTACCTTCGCGCCGGGGGTTTCCCTGCAGCCGGGGACGGGGCAGGGCCTGGCCCAAGGCGAGGAGGACCCAGGCGCTGTGCAGCGGGGTGCAGGGAGATCGCCCAGACACCGGGACAGTCGGACACACACACTGACTGGGACCCACAGATCCACACCCCCAGGGATGCGTACACAGACCGACCTACGGGCGTTCCAGGGTCCACCAAGTCACGTGCAGGCAGAGCCCAAAGGATGTACTCATGGACACAAGGCCACAGTCTCACAAATCCACACACCATGGACAGGGGCACGAACACACACACTCACTGATGGGGGTACCAACCACACACACACCCAGACGCAAATGCACGGACCCACTAACAGGGTTCCCCGGACAAGCAGACGGACACAATGGCAGGGCCACACACAGTTGCACAAACACCCACACTGATGATCACACCTGGGCCCACGAACTGTGTTCACAAACAACCCTACCGAACAGGCACCCACACCACATACACGGTGGTGCAACCACAACAGACACAGGCGGAATGCTTGTCTGGAAACACAAACTTGCTGATAGGCACAGGGGACACACACACACACCCAGACACACACAGACACCTGTTATACCTGGACACACAGCCAAATCCAAATCACACTCCAACAGGGACATACACAAATGCACTCACGCAATTTCACAGCTAACACATTAAAACTATCAGAAACTGACATTTGCCCCCCACGATGGCTCACATTTGTAATCCCAGTACTTTGGGAGGCCAAGGTGCACGGATCTCGCCTGAGGTCAGGAGTTCGAGACCAGCCTGACCAACATGGTGAAACCCTGTCTCTACTAAAAATAGCAAACTCCGTCTAAAAAAAAAAAAGAAAAGAAAAAAGAAAAAAGGAAGGAAACTGACATTCAGAGACACAGATCAAATCAGACATAGACATAGAAGAAACTGACCACCGACACATGTCATGAAGTCACACCTGTGACAGCTTCTTGCTAACTGGTCCACTGCACATACACCGGAGCATGCACACCTGACCACACTCACCACAAATCTGGCAGGGGACCCACGTCGCAGAAGAAGCCCTGGGGACCTGGCATGGACATGCCCGGGCAGACCCCACGCCAAATTTTATCCTGTCTCATAGTTTTCTATTCCCTTTCCTTTTTCAGTTTCTCATTGTTACTTCCTTCTCTGCTCTGGTTCAGGGAGTTTGGAGTTTTGTCCTTCCTTCTTCCAAAGCTGTGGACTCCTGTCTCCTCCTCTATACTTTCCATCCCTACCGGGTCGCACCCAATCACAATCGCCTCATCAGAGTGAGTCACCTTCCAGTGCCTAGCATGGGGCTGGCTGAGAAAAGATGTCAGACTTCTCAAACTTGACTGCCTCCAAGTACACACTCTTAGCTTCCCCAAGAAAAGCAGTTAATCTATATCTCACATGAAATTTCCCCATTTGAAACATTGGGAACGCCTCAGCTTTCCTCTCTCTTTCGCTTTCCCTGATTATTCATTCTCCCTTCCTTCTTCCTGGTGTTTTCCAAACTGTGGTTCTTGAGTAAACCATGGATTATGACATATGACATCACTTACATGGATCTTACTTTTTTTTTTTTGAGACGGTCTCGCTCTGTTGCCCAGGCTGGAGTGCAGTGGCACGATCTTGGCTCACTGCCACCTCCGCCTCCTGGGTTCAAGCAATTCTCCTGCCTCAGCCTCCCGAGTAGCTGGGACTACAGGTGTGCGCCACTACACCCAGCTAATTTTTGTATTATTGGTAGAGACGCGGTTTCACCATATTGGCCAGGCTGGTCTTGAACTCCTGACCTCAGGATCCGCCCGTCTTGGCCTCCCAAAGTGCTGGGATTACAGGCATGAGCCTCCGCACTCAGCTTTTTTTTTTTTTTTTGGATAAAAGATTCACTCTGTGGCCCAGACTGGAGTGTAGTGGCACAATAGATAGTCTTGTGGTACAATAGCCTTGCAGCTTCAAACTCCTGGGCTACAGAGATCCTCCTGCCTCAGCCTCCTAAGTAATTTTTATTTTTATTTTTATTAAAATTTTTAAATTTTCAATTAAAAAATTTAAATTTTTTAATGCCCAGCTAATTTTTTTTTTTTTTTTTTTAAATAGAAATAGGTGGTCTCACTATGTTGCCCAGGCTGGTCTTGACCTTATGGGCTCAAGCAAACCTCCTGCCTCGGCCTCCCTCAGTGCTGGGATTACAAGTGTGAACCACCATGCCTGGCTGATCTTAATGCATTTTACTCAGTAAGATGCATTCACATCCCAACCAACTTGCGCTTTATTGAGATGTATTTAAACACAAGAACATTCACTCTTTTTAGGTGTATGGTTTGTTTGTTTGTTTGTTTGTTTGTTTTTTTGAGGCGGAGTCTTGCTTTGTCGCCCAGGTTGGAGTGCAGTGGCACTATCTCGGCTCACTGCAAGCTCCGCCTCCTGGGTTCACGCCATTCTCCTGCCTCAGCCTCCCGAGTAGCTGGGACTACAGGCGCCTGCCACCACGCCAGGCTAATTTTTTTGTATTTTTAGTAGAGACGGGGTTTCACCGTGTTAGCCAGGATGGTCTCGATCTCCTGACCTCGTGATCCACCCATCTCGGCCTCCCAAAGTGCTGGGATTACAGGCTTGAGTCACCGCCCCGGCGGTGTATGGTTTGTTTTTACTGGCCCTAGACAAGAGGTTTTGTTAGTGGTGTTTTAATTGAGATAGAATCTGGCTGTGTTACCCAGGCTGGTTTCAAACTTCTGGGCTCAAGCCATCCTCCCACCTCAGCCTCCCTAGTAGCTGGGATTATAGGCATACATGACTGCTTTGACCAGAGTTTTTAAAAACTACACTACAGGCCGGGCACGGTGGCTCACACCGCACTCCTAGTACTTTGGGAGGCTATGGGGCGTGGATCATCTGAGGTCAGGAGTTCGAGACTAGCCTGGCCATCATGGTAAAGCCCCATCTCTACTAAAAATACAGAAATTAGCCGGGCATGGTGGTGCAATCCCAGCTACTTGGGAGGTTGAGGCAGAAGAATTGCTTGAACCCAAGAGAAGGAGGTTTCATTGAGCCGAGATCGCGCCATTTCATTCCAGCCCGAGCGACAAGAACAAAACTCTGTCTCAAAACAACGCCAACAACAACAAAAATACACTACAGGCCGGGCATAGTGGCTCTTGCCTGTAATTCCAACACTTTGGGAGGCCGAGGAGGGTGGATCACTTGAGGTCAGGAGTTCAACACCAGCCTGGCCAACATGGTGAAACCCCCGGTCTACTAAAATACAAAAATTAGCCGGGCATGGTTGCATTGCCAGTAATCCCAGCTACTCAGGAGGCTGAGATGGGAGAATCGCTTGAACCCGGGAGACCGTGGTTACAGTGAGCCAAGATTGCACCACTGCACTCCAGCCTGGGTGCTGAGCGAGACCCCATCTTAAAAAAAAAAAAAAATACATATATATATATAAAATTTTGAAAAATTATGAAGTCAAGGGAAAGTAATATTTTATGAACATTTTATTGATGTATAGTGAATACATATTAGGTTACAAGGAAAGTATTTTTCTGGCCGTAGATCAAGTTTAAAGACGTTTGAGGCCGGGCGCGGTGGCTCAAGCCTGTAATCCCAGCACTTTGGGAGGCCGAGACAGGCGGATCACGAGGTCAGGAGATCGAGACCATCCTGGCTAACACAGTGAAACCCCATCTCTATTAAAAAATACAAAAAACTAGCCGGGCGAGGTGGTGGGCGCCTGTAGTCCCAGCTACTCGGGAGGCTGAGGCAGGAGAATGGTGTAAACCCGGGAGGTGGAGCTTGCAGTGAGCTGAGATCCGGCCACTGCACTCCAGCCTGGGCGACAGAGCGAAACTCCGTCTCAAAAAAAAAAAAAAAATAAATAAATAAAGACGTTTGAGAAATGCTACTTTAGACACTTATTAAATGAGATCACACTGGAAGTCATTTAGTGCAGTATTGGACATATAGTAAGTGCCTAATAAGTGTTAGCTATTATCACTTGTATAACTAATTATTGCCAGTATTTCCTCTGTGTTTGACAGTGATGAAGTTGAGAGAAGGGCAGTCTCTAGCCCTCTGCTAGCTCATGGTCCCGCCTGTACCTCACACCTCTCACTCACTGAGCAGTGTCCAGACTGCCCATTGCAGGGCAGATACCCGGAGGCCAGATGTACTGGAATGTTCTCTTTTTTTTTTTGAGATGGAGTCTCACTGTGTCGCCCAAGATGGAATGTGGTGGCCTGATTTCTGCTCACTGCAACCACCACCACCTCCTGGGTTCAAGTGATTCTCCTGCCTCACCCTCCTGAGTAGCTGGGATTACAGGCATGTGCCACCATGCCCAGCTAATAATTTTTGCAGTTTTAGTAGAGATGGGGTTTCACCATGTTGGCCAGGCTGGTCTCGAACTCCCAATCTCAGATGATCCGCCTGGCTCGGCCTCCCAAAGTGCTGGAATTACAAGCATGATTCACTATGCCCAGCCTGTAATATTCTTTTATTCTTTTCCTCCTCCTCCTCCTCCTTCTTCTTTCTTCTCCTCCTCCTCCTCCTCCTCATCCTCCTCTTCCTCCTCCTCCTTCTTCTCCTTCTTCTCCTTCTTCTTTTTTCTTTCTTTTTTTTTTTTATAAAGATGGAATCTCACCATGTTGCCCAGGTTGGTCTCAAACTCCTGGGCTCAAGTGATCCTCCCTCCTTGGCCTCCCAAAGTGCCTCGATTATGGGCATGAGCCACCATGCCCGGCCCCGGAATGTTCTTTCTTTCTTTGTTTCTTTGTAGAGACAGGGTTTCACCATGTTGCCCAGGCTGGTCTCAAACTCCAGGCCTCAAGCAATCCTCCCTCCTTGACCCCCTAAAATGCTGAGATTACAAGTGTGAACCACCGCACCGGCCTGTAATGTTCTTTTGAGAAGAAAATGAGTGTGAAAGATAATGGGAATCTGGCTTGGTGGCTGGAGGTAGAAAAGACGGGGAGAGGCCAAGAGTCTATTTGGCCATAAGCATTGTCACTAGTCAAAATCCTCCTTACAGCTAGGCGTAGTGGCTCACGCTTGTAATCCCAGTATTGTGGAAGGCCGAGGAAGGCGGATTGCCTGAGCCCAGGAGTTCCACACCAGCCTGGGCAACATGCAGGAACCTAACTGGGAGGCTGAGGTGGGAGGAACGCTTGAGCCTGTGAGTTCGAGGCTGCAGTGGGCTGTGATCGCACCATTGTACTCCAGCTTGGGCAACAGTGCGAGACCCTATCTCAAAAGCAAAACAAAACACCAGCCTGGCCAACATGGTGAAACCCTGTCTCTACTAAAAATTCAAAAATTAGCTGGGTGCGGTGGCACATGCCTGTAATCCCAGCTACTCAGGAGGCTGAGGCAGAAGAATCGCTTGAACCCGGGAGGCGGAGGTTGCAGTGAGCCAAGATCGTGCTACTGCACTGCAGCCTGGGCGACAGAGCAAGACTCCGTCTCAAAAATAAAAAACCAACCCTCACCCGCAAAACAACAACACAAAACCCTTGTGGGCAAAGAAAAAGAAGTTTGTGGGTGGGTTAAGGGCTGCCTCTTTTTTTTTTTTTTTTGAGACAGGGTCTTGAACTGTTGCCCAGGCTGGAGTGTAGTGTCATGATCACAGCTGACTATCACAGCTCACCGCAGCCTCCATCTCCTAGGCTCAAGCAATTCTCCCACCTCAGTTTCCGAAGTAGCTGGGACTACAGGTGCACACCACCACGCCTGGCTAATTTTTTATTTTTATTTTTATTTTTTTTGAGACGAAGTCTCACTCTGTCGCCCAGGCTGGAGTGCAGTGGCCAGATCTCAGCTCACTGCAAGCTCCGCCTCCTGGGTTTACGCCATTCTCCTGCCTCAGCCTCCCGAGTAGCTGGGACTACAGGCGCCCGCCACCTCGCCCGGCTAGTTTTTTGTATTTTTTAATAGAGACGGGGTTTCACCATATTAGCCAGGATGGTCTCAATCTCCTGACCTTGTGATCCGCCCGTCTCGGCCTCCCAAAGTGCTGGGATTACAGGCTTGAACCACCGCGCCCAGCCTTAATTTTTTAATTTTTTGTAGAGATGAGGTTGTTGCCTGCCCAGGCATGTTTCGAACTCCTGGCCTGAACCTATTCTCCTGCCTTGGTTTCCCACGCCCGCATACAGTCCTCACAAAAGACTGTGGGCTGTGAGTCTAGATGACCTGAGTTAGAATCCCCTCTGCCACCTACTGGCTGTGGGTGATGTTGGGGGAATCGGTCACAGCTTTGTGCCTCAGTTTCCTCATCTGTGAGTTAAGACAGCACAGGTCGCTACCTCATAGGATGTGTAGTCAGAAGGTGAATAAAGATAAAACACTGGGCCAGGCACACAGTGGCTTATGCCTGTAATCCCAGCACTCTGAGAGACTGAGGCAGGAGGATCGCTTGAGCCCAGAAGTTCCAGACCAGCCTAGGCAACATAGT